TTATGGCACCTGTGATAGGAGATTCTTGTTATGCCTTAGATATCATCGAAGAATGTATTAGGGAATTAGAACAAAAAGAAGAAACTGAATCTATAAAATTGCCATCAACCCTTATTTTGGAAGATGACAATTATAAAACACCCTACATTGATGATAACCTTCACGAATGTTTATCTCTAACCCCAGATCCTATGCCTTGCCCTATAAAACCGACCGTAAAACTTAAGGAACTGCCTAAAAACCTGAGATATGAATTTCTTGATGAAGATATGAACCGTCCAGTTATAGTCAGTGCTACCTTAAACCAAGAAGAAACCGATCAATTATTAGAAGTTTTACGTAGGTACCCCTCAGCCTTAGGATATAAGATCTCTGATCTAAAAGGAATAAGCCCATCCGTATGCATGCATCGGATTTTGCTTGAAGAAGATTCAAAACCTTCTAGAGAACACCAACGTAGAATAAATCCTATAATGAGTACTGTAGTTAAGACTGAAGTTCTTAAGTTACTAGAGGCAGGTATAATATATCAGATCTCGGACAGTAAATGGGTGAGTCCTGTGCATGTAGTACCTAAAAAGGGAGGCATCACAGTCGTGCAAAACGAGAAGGGCGAACCTGTAGCAAAAAGAACTGATGGAGGTTGGCGTATGTGCATAGATTATAGAAAATTAAATAAAGCAACTAGGAAGGACCATTTCCCATTACCATTCATAGACCAAATGTTGGAGCGCCTAGCCAGACACTCTTACTTTTGTTATTTAGATGGATATTCAGGATTCTTCCAAATACCTATTCACCCCGAAGATCAAGAAAAAACTACCTTTACATGCCCAGTTGGAACCTTTGCCTATAGAAGAATGCCTTTTGGACTCTGTAATGCTCCTGCAACTTTCCAACGCTGCATGATGTCTATCTTTGCTGATTATTTGGATGGAATCATGGAGAGTCACGTCAGGTAAACGTAAGCAGAGTCGGTCATTCCTAGATGCAGTTAATCTGGGGCAATCAGGTCGAGACTCATCAAACCACTCGAAGGCCAGTCGAAGACGCCATTCCCTAAGGTCGGTTAATCTGGGGCAATCAGGTCGAGATTTGATAAATCTCTCGAAGTCAGCCAGGGGCACTTCTCTACAAATCAGCCAATTAGGGGAAAATCACTTCAAAGCTGGGGCAGGTCACCCGAAGAGCACAAAGACTATCCTTGTCAAGAAAGGAAATTAACTTGAAGCACTTCTTCGGGGTTCGAAGCGCTGGGGCAGTTCATATCTAACCATCAGGGTACCGAAATTTCAGGTTTCCTTTCGAGGAAGGTTTTTACAAAAGTCCCACAGGCTGGGGCAAAATCGTAAACAAAGGAGATGTGTTCCTCTCCATATCTTCAGAGCTTATCAGAGTTATAGAAGCAGATTTGGGTTTATTTTCCCAGCAGTAGGGCGAGCGCAGTACTGTTATCCCCACAGAGTCTAAATGGTTGACTTCTTTCCCCTCAGAGTCTAGGTGATTGACTCATTCCTCAAGCGGAAGTCGTATTTGTTGAGTTTACTTATCATTTTCCCCAAGCAGAGATTGATGTTGATTCCCTCCGTATCTAATCCCCAGCCAAGCCAGTGGGATTAATCCTCCTCCCCACAGAGTAGGGCTGACTCAGAGATCGTTCATCTCCATCCCCAGCAGAGAAAGTGTGGGATAAATTCCCGGTAAGTCTTATTCAACATCCCTAGCAGATAGTGGATTCAATCTCCGACAGAAGAGAGTTATTCCTCAGCAATCTGCTATGTTTCCCCAGTAGGGTTATTCTGGCTAATCATTCATGGTTGATTTCCCCGGTAGAGTGGAGTTGTTGTCTCCAGCCAAGTGGCTTGTTCCCAAAAGAGTTGTAGGCTGATAGGCCCCCCGGGATGTTTTCCGCATCAGAGTTTGATTTGGATCCCCAGCGGTTTGGTTTTGTTCTTAACGGAGCAGTTTTACCCAGAAGTTTTCTCGGAGGCCATCCACGGCTTGCATTCCCCAGCATGAGTTTATTTGCGCTAGGCGTATCTAGCTCTGACTCAACGGAGTTGGCTCTTTCTCTTTAGCATTTATTTTGCTAAAGTGGTTCATTTGCATCTACATACATGCATAGCATCTACCCGAACGCGAAGCATTCCCATTTCGTATGGAGCATTTCGTCATATCCAAACATATGCATGCGAAACATAAGCTGAGTCGTTACCCTTCTGTTTCAAGTAAGTCCCGCAGATGACTAGTATCTTCGCCCGTGTGTTGGCTAGACCCCAGCTCATGCTGTCTCCCCAGCGGATTTCTTTTGTAGTTGTCACCAAAGGATTTGTTTGTTCAGCGGCGAGGTTGGATGTTTGTTTCTGGCGGCGATGTCAGAGTGATTTGTTTGTTCAGCGGCGAGGTTGGATGTTTGTTTCTGGCGGCGATGTCAGAGTGATTTGTTTGTTCAGCGGCGAGGTTGGATGTTTGTCTTGACGGCGATGTCAAGCGATTTAGTTTTTCAACGGCGATGTTGAGTGTTTGTTTCTGACGGCGATGTCAGATGATTCAGTTTTTCAGCGGCGATGTTGAAAGTTTGTTCTGACGGCGATGTCAAAAGGATTTGTTTGTTCAACGGCGATGTTGAAAAGTTTGTTTTGACGGCGATGTCAAGTGATTCAGTTTTTCAGCGGCGATGTTGAAAGTTTGTTCTGGCGGCGATGTCGGAGTGATTTGTTTGTTCAACGGTGATGTTGAAAAGTTTGTTTTGACGGCGATGTCAAGTGATTTTATTCTTCAACGGCGATGTTGAGAAGTTAGTTCTGACGGCGATGTCATATGATTCAGTTTTTCAGCGGCGATGTTGAAAGTTTGTTTTGACGGCGATGTCAAAAGGATTTGTTTGTTCAGCGGCGAGGTTGGATGTTTGTTTCTGGCGGCGATGTCGGAGTGATTTGTTTGTTCAGCGGCGATGTTGGATTTTGTCTTGACGGCGATGTCGGAGGATCGTATCTTTGGATTCGATATCTGTTTGTATTTAACAGAGGACTAACGGCAAGAAATGACGGCGAAGTCAGAAGATTGTTTTAAGAGATGACGGCGAAGTCAGGTTATGTGAGAATTGACGGCGAGGTCAGATGTTTACTTGATTTATGACTGACGGTGAAGTCAGATGTTCCATTTAATATGGGAATTGACGGCAAAGTCAGAAGACGATTTTAAAAAAATTTGACGGCGAAGTCAGAAAATATTGTAAATCGGACGGTGAGATCAGAAGATTATTTTGGAGAGCTGACGGCGAAGTCAGGGGCTTTACCAAAGTCCTGTGAAAATTGACGGCGAAGTCAGAAAATATTGAAGACCGACGATGAAGTCAGTTGATTTATAATTTGGACGCTGAGATTTGACAGCGAGGTCAGATGCTGTTAAAGGAGCTGATGGTGAGGTCAGACGTTCTACTTAATATGGGTGCCTGGCGGCAATGTCAGAAGTTCGTATCGCGGTTGTCAAATTTCCGGGTCCTTGGGTATTCAACCGTCTCTTACCTTGATTGTATGAAAGTCGCTTATCTTTCATCCCTTCAGGTCTAAGTCGTTTGAATAGGGGCATCTGTTGTACCCCAAAATTTGACCGACCTCTCTGGCTTATGTTTTATTTCATTGCATCAGCACATACGTAAGCATTGCATTGCATAGCATTTTGCATTTCACAGGGGATCAAGAAATGTGTGTCTAACAAAATTACCAATGGTTTTTAACCTGATCAAGGAGGTTATATTCAAGTTACCAAGTGGTTACCCTTATCAGAGACAAGTCAAGGTCCTTGAAGACAAACATATAGGCATATATGATTGTCAGGGGCAGAAAAATCAAAAAAATATATGTTACTTCTATCATGAGGTTGAAGAAAAGCGAGTCAGACTCCATTTGAGTTTTAGTTGGTCAAGATTAAGGTATAATACGTATGGAGATCCAGGGCTTTGATTTAATGACAAGGGATTATTTTCGGGAAGCATGGATTTAAGTGGTGTGTACATGGCGATCCGGCTAGAGTTTATGTGCCATTTTAGGTCATTTGTGTGTGGATCGGATTATTAGTCTTTGTCAAGAAGGGAGATTTATTTCATTGAAGTCAAGTTGCAGAGCCATCAGAAGTCAAAACATTTGGTCAACCTTTTCAAGTCATTCACAAGTCCTAACTATGTGTCATAGGAGAATTCAAACTTTCTTTTCCATTTCGGACTATTTCAAGATGGAATCAGAATCTGGTGTTAATTTCGCATAGTCAATTCAAGGTTTCAAATTTCATGCCTTTCCAAATGCAAGATTCAAAGTCCACTCAAGATTTAATCCAATCCGTTTCCAGTTTCGTTTTAATCCAATTCAAGTTTCATCTCTTTTTAAATTCAATCCAACTTTCAATTTAATGTCAAGATTTCATCTTCCAGTTTTTATCCAATTTCAAATTCCATTCAGTTGTTCAAATTTCAATTTCCTTTTCAACTTCGCTCAAATCCAAATTTTCTTTCAATTTCTTTCCAAATTTTAATCCCATTTCACGTTCGACTCAAGTTCAATTCATAACCTATTTCATTTTCAAATCTCAAATCCCATTCATAATTTCCATTCAAATACATATCATTATCTTCTCCTAAGATCCATTCATACAGAATCTACAAATAATGGGAATAATCCAAGTTACAAATTCAAAAAAAAAGATCATTTCCAATAGGAAGGACCCAAGATCCATTTGCATTTGATGAGCATGACAGTGGTTTATCAAAGAGTTCGCACAGTAAAAAATCCGTGACCAAAAATAGTTCCAGGAAGAATGTTCAGTTTACGAAAGGTACCCCGGCTGTAATTTTGGAAGATAACCATGATCCCTTTGCATTTGATGAGGATGACATTGTGCCCTCTCAGTGGGACATACTATCGGGGAATCACAAACCATCTCATTCTAAAAAACATAAGGTAGCGAATAGAAAATTTGAAAATGAACGTCAATCACAAACCAAAATGAGTCCAGAAAATGAGCATCAATCACAAACCAAATTGAGTGAGGAAAATGAACATCAATCGCAAACCAAAGTGAGTCATGAAGAAGAACTTCAATTGCAAACCAAAATGAGTCAACAAGAATCAAGTGATGGGAACATCAATTGTTCCAGTTCTGACATCAGTTATGAAGAAGATTCTAGCCTTCTAAGTGATTGCCTCCTTACTGCTGTTAAGGTGCTGATGAATTTGACTAATGACAACCCTATTGGCTGTCAACTAATTGCTGCCAATGGAGGACTAGAGGCCATGCCTATGTTAATTGCTGGTCATTTCCCTTCTTTTAGCTCATCTCAGTCCTTTGCTCAAATAAAAGACAACTCTTTGAGAACTGAAAAGGACCATCTATGTGACATGCTTCTAAATGATCACGAGTTGGATTTTCTTGTTGCTATTCTGGGTTTGCTTGTAAATCTGGTTGAGAAGGACAGTCAAAACAGATCACGGCTTGCAGCAGCCAGTGTTTTACTACCTTCTTCAAAAGGCTTGGACCAGGAGGTTCGGCGGGATGTTATTCAATTATTATGCTCTATTTTTTTGGCTAACCAGGGTGAAAGTGAGGTGGCAGGTGGGGAAGATAAAAAATTTGAACTGAATGATGAGGCGGCTGTACTACAAGGTGAAAAAGAAGCTGAGAAAATGATTGTCGAAGCTTACTCTGCGTTGCTTCTAGCATTTCTTTCCACTGAAAGCAAGAGCATCCGCGAATCAATTGCTGACAATCTTCCAGATCACAACTTGGCCAGTCTTGTACCTGTGTTAGACAGATTTGTGGAATTTCATCTGTCCTTGGACATGATTTCACCAGAGGCTCATAAAACTGTTAGCGAGGTCATCGAATCATGTAGAATTCGGTGAAAGATCAAATGAAAAAATCTGTACAGCCACATCTTGCATTAGGATTTGTTGCTTCTCCGACGAAAGGAAATTACTTCAGCTCACATCATTAGAATTCAACCAACTTTTATGTGCTGCTCTCAATGCTCATAAATTATATCACCGTGCTGGTGATACGGAAATGCTTGAATACAAAACTTCAAAAAAAACATTCTGCTATCTTTGCACAACCAGCCAAAAACCCTGCACCATTCTGTTACCACAAACCAAAACTGTACAAACCTGCAAAACAACCTGTATTTGATTCAAAGAGGGACAGACCAAAAAGGATTATGGGAAAGGGCCAGAAAACACACCCAGAAGTGAAGACCACTCTTCAGCTCTTCTCTAAAAAGGGGCCAAGACAACTTTCATAAGATACACAACAATAAATAAATAAAAAACGCTAATCAGAGGCGTCTCTAGCCTCCTTCCCAACTATCATCCCTCTCGTTGTAAATAAGGACTCATCAACCATTAAGTCCTTCTCCAACCAGCTTCTGCTTTCAAAAAACAAAACCCAGCCACTGAAACCCACCATTTCTCTTCATCTTAGTCAAGCAACCAACACCTTCAAAACCCAGCAGAAACCTGTTTTCAATAAAAACTCATTCGCAAGATTCACTCACTCTCTCAAACTCGCCATGAAAATCACTACATAACTTGTCTGCTTTTTTTCATCACCACACACTAAAATTTCACAACGAGCTTACCTCCATCGGTAACGAATTAGATGTTCCGACGTCGTCAACCATAACTCATCTTGCAGCAACAACATTGTGGTTAATGCAGTACCACTTCCAACGACGTATTCGGCGTTGCAGAACAACAACTGCGTTTCTAATCCATGGTCGCTCCGGTTACACTCCGAGACTTTTCGCAGATTCAATCTCAACACCGCCTCCAATAACAAAGCAAACATCAACAAATCACTGATAATTTCTCAATCTCCAACACAAACCTCAACCCAACCGTGAAGACTCCTTCTCCTCCACCCGTGAAGCTTCGAACTTCAACCATATCCCATTACCATCGGAGAACCACAAATCAACCAACCGTTAACCCGATCGACCTTCTCCTTCGCTAAATCTCCAAACTGTGACCCCTAAAACCTTTGATTCTCCTCTTCGGATCTGAATGGAACTCTTTCACACACAACAGCAACAACAACCCATAACCCAGAAACATGTTTCATAGACCCTCTCAATCTCCAACAAAACCGAAATCACAACCCATAAACCTCTCTCCCTCAAAATATCGATAGACCTCCATCTCAAAACCTCAACCTCACAGGATTCTCCCCTCACAACTCTCACTTTATGCAAAGATAACCTTCATAAGAGTGAACCGCATCAACAACCAAATCGTTCACAGAACCTTCAACCAACACCCCTTTTAATTCTCCATTCGCCTTCTTCAATCTAACAACCAATAAACAAAACTTGAAATCCGTTCCTCAAAACCCTCTTTATACTTAAACCAGAAAACGAAGGAGAAGAATAGAAAGATCGCATCACTGACCAAATCAAGAACAAACTGAGCTTGATATGGACTCGAAAAAGTGACGGTCGAAGCATTTGTGACCGATTGGTTGAAGGTGAAATCAAAGGGAGACCCAGACGCGTAAACCTGTAGAATATTTTGTTGATCCAAGAAGGTGGTGTGTGGTGTTCGTTTTCTACGTTCATCTCGTTTCCTTCCTCTATTCTAAAGTTAATCTCATGCGTTTTGGGAAAATCGTGATGGTAATGACAATGATTATTAATTTATTTTATTTTTTTGTCATGCTAATGTGGTTGTTCAGAAAAGATGAACCACGACTTTGTGGCTTTGAGGATTATTCAACATGTTGCTGATATTGGGCCCGCACAATTTTTGATCCATACGAGTGTTTTTCTTTATGGTGATTAGTTTAGCCAGACCATGTTTTTTTTGTTATTTCCATGTCACCCTTTCCTTGTTCCTTTTGATCGTGTTTAACTCTTGGTGGAGGGGTGATGGGCCATAGGCCCATATGATCCTCTCTTAAGTTTGTTTTTTGCATATTTCGCATCCTTTATTCTTCAAAATGCACCCTTTGTGTTCTAGCTTTTAACGAGTTTTTTTATATATTGTTTTTGACTTTGATTCTATTAAATTTTCAACTTCATTTTGGGTCGATGACGAGACCACCAATGTTTAGCCGTCAAATTGTTGACGTGAAACAAAGGATCTGAGACCACCTCTTTCTCTCCCCTTTTCTTGTTTCTTTCGATTTTATTTTTTGACTTATGGATCAATGAAGTCTTGTATCGGTAAGCGTCAGATTTTCGAAGTCGATAACCTTCCCGATTTCAAATCTATGGGGGATGACCATTGGGGTCTTCTTCCTTACTTTGGGATCCCGATAGACTACCTTCGATTAATCGACATTATGTTTGCGGTTAAGACGAGATCTCATTCTTTTGTGTCCCGATTCGATTCACTAACCAATATGCAACTGCTTTAATTTCTGTCAAATATTAACTGCTTTATTTTTCAATCATTTACATTCTTGTACATATCATATATTCTGTATATTATTATCTTGTATATATTCAAACTAACTTGTACAAAACACTTAATAAATATCAAACCATAAAATCCTAATTGGTGGACTGTTTATTTATCTGTATCCTGTATACATCTATCTCTGTTCTTCATCTCTTTGCAGGTTCTCAAAAACATCTTCAATAAAGGGATTAAGTTATATTCGTGTTGGATTGAAAAAAGAGGATTAAGTGTAGACTTTCTCCCTCTCCGAGTGTCGAGATGCTCGTTGTAGTGTGGGTTGTTTTGACACTCGTCTTTCAATACGAAGACGCTCGTATTCTCCACACTTATCCATATCCTTCTCTCCTAAAACCTCGGCTCTGCATCAAGTACATTTTCAAACCTTTTTTCTCTTAAAACCTCGGCCCCGCGCCGAGTGCATTTTCAAAATTCCTTTCAATAAGAATCAACTTCTCTTTGTATTGGACTAATGAGAAAGGAGTAAGTGTAGACTTCTTCTTTTCCGAGTGTCGAGATGCTCACTGTAGTGTGGGTGGTTTAGACACTCGTCTTTCAATACGAAGACGCGACTCCTTCTACCATCCCTCTTTTCCACAACTTCCTTCCGCAACAATTTTCACACCTAAAATCTCAGTCCTGTACCGAGTGCATTTTCAAATCTTTTCATAATAAAAACTTGAATGGTCGTGGAGTGGTTAGGCGTAGGCCTTCTCCTATCCCGAGTGCTGACGTTTACCGTAGGGTTCTCTGTCGCAAAGCACTTACCATTCAAAACCAAAAACATATTTAATAAGAGAATGAAGTTCTCTTTGCATTGAATTAAAGAGAGAGGATTGGGTGTAGACCTCTTCTTCTCCGAGCGTAGGGGTGCCCACTGTAGTGAGGGTGGTTTCGACGCTCGTCTTTCAATACGAAGACGCCTCGTTCGCCACACCCTTTTATAACAAAAACTTTGAGATAAAGAATTGGGTATTACCCGTAGGGGTTACTATCCGAGGACCTATCTCGCCCCTAAAAAACAATTCAACCAATCAAACGTGACACCTTGCCTCGCATGGCGAAAACCAGTCTCCCAAAGGATATGTTACGTCCGTTCTACCGCAAACAGGTACGCCTAAGTCTCCAAACGAGCGAGCAGCAAAACACCTAAACTGCTAGAACGCGTACGATAACATCATCCACAAAACACACCGGTTATCCGCACCGTAGGCACGAACTACGTTGCTCTGATTTCTCTTGCATGTTGAGAATACGTAGGCATAGGATTGCAATATCCTAGCGAGCACCCTTTTTCTTTTTCACCCTTTCCCAGAAAGGCATGCTACGTCCGTTCTACCGCAAACAGGTAACGCCTAAGTCTCCAACGAGCGAGCAGCAATACACCTAAACTGCTAGAATGCGCACGATAGCATCGTCTACCAGAACTCCCCCCGCACACCGTAGGCCGAACTACGGCTGCTCTGATTCTTTACTTCCTTCAAGTAAAGATACGTAGGCACAAGGGCCACAATCCTTGCCGAGCATATTCCCCCTTATATCTGTAGTTCCCCGAACTACGTCGACTCTGACTTTCTCATATCTGTTGAGAATACGTAGGCCTAGGACCGCGAAGTCCTACCGAGTCTGTTCTTTCTCTTTTCTTCCCCGTTCTCTCTTTCCTCCTAACTTTCTTGTTTCTAACCCTTCTTTTACCCGGTGGAACACTTCTTATAGCATAATGTTTAAGCAGATAAATTCACACATCGACAAACAAAAGGTTCCCATCGAGTACGATGGATGCGAGGGGTGCTAATACCTTCCCCTCGCATAACCGGCTTCCGAACCCGTTCTTGGTCGCGAGACCATCTTATCCATTTTTTTCTTAAGGTTTTCTCGATATTTTCCTTTCCCCACATGGGATAAATAAAGTTCGGTGGCGACTCTTCTGTCCTTTCTTTTCGCCTCCCCGTCGTTGCACGATGCATTTTTTCGAGTAGCGACAGCTGGCGACTCTGCTGGGGAGGACACAGCAAGCCAAGCCTATTTTGTTTATCGTATTTATGTTTTATTTGATTTATTTGTTTATGCGTTGTTCTCTAACTTGTTGGGTTCATTTGGTTTGGCTTGTGAGGATAAAGCTTTCTACCCGAGCTTTCGAGTATGCACTAAGTTAGGAGGTGGTTTCTTTCTGATTTGCGAGACTTAGGACTCGTTGAGTTGGATCGAATTCCACCGCTCAAATGAGACCCCGTTGGAATAATTATGTCTTACGTGTAGTCGTAATGGCGTTCTTATCTTCAACTTGGGAGTCCGCGATTCTGAAGACCTTTTGTAGAACCTTATTCCAAAGGTTGCTAAAACATAACTCTGTGTTCATCCTTTTGAAGGGATTACCGTCTTACGAGTAGTCGTTATGATGGGAAACTTTTGAGGGTTAGTGCATGGGACTTTGTTTGAAAAGCCTTTGGAAT